TCTCTGTCAAATAAATAAATAAAATCTTTAAAAAAAAAAAAGATGCATGCATAGTTAAGGGGTGCCTGGGTGGCTCAGTCAGCTGAATGTCCGTCCTACTTAGTTTTGGCTCAGGTCATGATCTCATGGGTCGTGGGATGAAGCCCCGCATCAAGCTCCATGCTCAGTGGGGAGCCTGCTACAAGATTCTTTCCCTCTGCCTCTCCCCCAACTCATGCATGCACTCTTTCTAAAATAAATAAATAAATATTAAAAAAAAAAAAAGATACATGCATAGTTAAAATAAACAAGGCCTGTTGTGGTCTCTAAATGCCATTTCTCCTAAAGAGATTAAGACTCTTAAGAGAAACAGCTACTTCAGGTCTAGGGCAAGAATATTCCAGGCATATACAGGGGCACTCTGTTGTATCAGAAGGAAGCACCCAAAGATAACAGGGTCATGTTAAAAGGACAAAGGAACTAACTTCAAAAGGGAACTCCTACTCATCTAAAATGAGGCAATTTAGCATCCAAAAATGAAAAGACCGTAAGAGTTTGAAGCACAAATATATAAAAATCTTCACGTTCATAATGTTATAAAAAAAATTACTTCATCAGTCTCCACTTGAGATTGCTGTGGCACCAACTCCTTACTGTGAAAATAGATGAACAAAGGGGAAAAAACAAAGTATTTATCCTTTCCCTGTATGAACTGTATTTTGGGATAAGCAAATTTTGTCTTTAGAGAAAAGTTCCAGCTTATGAAATGAAGAGTGAAATAGAAAATCATCATTTCTCAATCCCTAATGACATAATCAATCTAGGCAATGGGCATTGATTGCTGCTACTAGGTAAAAGGTTGACAGGGAGCAGATAATTTAAAACAGATACAAACATTCTAACACCACTAAAAGTAGGATAACCAGACATTACATGTGCCTCCTGATGTGATGTAACAGAAAGTAAAGAGCCCACTTATAAAACATTGTCCCCCACAAAAATATTAAATCTGAATCTAATCAACCTCTTCATCTGTGCTATCCAATTCTATAATCATCAAACCACATGTGGCTAGCCAGAATCCTGATGTGCCACTAAGTATAAAATATAAAATATCAGATTTCAAAGACTTTTCAAAAAGAGAGAACATAAAGTATCTTAATTTTTATACGGATTACAAATTGAAATGACATTTAAAATATTCTGGGTTAAAGAAAACATTAAAATTAACTTCATCTCTTCCTGTTTTGGGCTACTGGTATATTTAAGTTACACATGTGGCTTGCAATAATTTTTAATGGACAACATGGTCTAGATCCACCCACTAGTTTACAGGAAATAAGAGAAGATAGACAAACATTAAACACACAAGGAAAAACTGCCAAATTCAGAAGGTGGAAATTCTTCAAGATAAATGATCTGGATTCTTTAAAAAAAGGGGGGGATAGGAATTATTAAAAGAAACATAAAGGGATAGGTCATGCAGATGATGCAAACTGCAGATAACTTTATGCAGATCCTAAGTAGAACCAAAGGTAAAAACATTTTTAGAAAAACAAAAACGAAACAAACCAAGAAAAGCCAGAACGTGAACAAGATATCAGATAGTTGAAGAACTGTTGTGTTGGGCATGGTAATAAAACTGAGGCCTAAAAAGAAAACAACCCATACATCTGTTAGAGCTACATTCTCAAGTATTTATAGATGAAATGATAAATCATGTTGGATTTGCCTTATCATACTTCAGAAGAAAAAAAAAGGGGGGAATAGATACAACAAGAACAGTAGAATGTTGGTAACTGTTAAAACTGGTGATGGGTACATGGAGGTTTGTTACATTAGTCTAACTCCTGTGCAGTTGGAGAAATTTGTAAATTAGGAAGTAAAACTAAAAAGCAAAAAATACCACAGGGCTAGATTATTTACCCAGGGGGTTGAACAAATAATCATTAAGGAAATGAAAAGTATATGGTCAAAAACTGCTGACACTGTGCTATCCTTAGGCTCCTGCTTTTCATGCGATGAAAAGCCCCCGCTGCTTTGACAATAGGGCACACCCAGGGTCCTTTATGACTAAAGGACCCCATTATAAACCAAGCGGTATTAGTTTCCAAAAGCTGCATACTGTGAGAACTGCAAAGGACTCTTGAGGAACCCCTCTAGTTTTGACCCAGAGCAGTGGTCACAACACACCTCTATCAAAGACTCTTCAAAAACTTTGTCCTAGGCCTGACTTGTTCTAATAAGAGCTGAGAGAAATGGAACACACAGTAGCTCCCTTCACTTTTCATAAGGTGGTAAACTGAAAAGGCACAGCAAATGCCCGTATTGAACAGGGACTGCACAAAAGCTAAAGGGTT